TGAATGTATGGAACTAGAACTAGAAAAGGCTGTCACTACTGAAGCAAGCAATTCCATTAAATTCAATTAAAGTTTATTTTTCTTAAAGAAATAAAAAGAAAGAAAATAAATAAACTAACTAAAAAGGAATAAAAATAAACAAAAATTGTTACCTAGCCGCACAGTTGGAGCTCGAGATAGTAGTTTTATTTTAAATTTAAAAGATTGAATGGATTACAGGTTGCGCAGGGGAGGGGGAATATTATTCCATATTTTAGCGGCCATATATTTGAAATTACCGTTAAAGGCAGTTGTTTTATGCGGAGGTACTTTGAGAATAACACCAGGCGAAAGAGGAAACAACCTTTGTGTTCGAGAGGACCAGGTAAGTTTATTGTACAGATAAAAAGGCTTGGATGTTTTCACTATACTGAAGAGTAAAGATGCATAATGAACCGATCTTCTAGATGACATATTCAGCCTTATTCAGGTCAGCCAAATTGATGAATGGTGTAACATGACCTCTACTAGGAACATCAAAACAAAATCTGGTACAGGCATTGTATACGCGTTGCACTAGGTGCACTACACACACATTACGGTACACATTTGCCAAGTTTTTGTGCTTAAGGCCATACTAAGAAAGCATCGTCTAGTGCCTCCACCACAATCTAATCAACGTCTGAAAAGACTCGTATGTCATGGTGAGCACCATATTACCACCTTTGCAAGTAGACAGTTTTTTGTTATAGGCTCTCTTCTGTACAATAAATTACATAAAATTCACAATCTCGTTGGCTTATGCAATTACGAAGTTAAATCTAAATTGGAAAATTGGCTAAAGACTCTTGATTACACGAGTACTGAAGCTCTACTAGATTATAATTATTAAATTGATAAAATTATTAATAATTAAAAAAAAAATTATTAATAAATATTACTTTTAATTTAAACTTGAACTTGATTTCATTTTAACTTGAAGTGAATTAATCTTTGTACACATACACTCTCACTCACATACACACACACACCACACACTTACACGTCCATTTATTTATATAGGTCACGAAGTATATTTTATTTCTTTCTTTATTTTCTTACTTCTTCATTAGAATTACCCTTTAAGAAATTATAAAATCTCATTTTTTTTCTTTTTTTTTGTTACACGCATGCCTATCATTATAGTTGTAAACCATAACTGTACAGACTCACTTATATTTATATACTTTATAATGATTGGATTCAATAAAAGTTTTGACTTTATGTAAAAGTTACCCCTAACTGAACACTGCCTCCTAAGATACAGTCTTTGACTAGTTTAGGAGACAGAATCTCTAAATTTGGTACGCCTTATTTTATATTTTGTGCTACGTTATATCTATACCAATAAAATTTTGTTTAATAAATAATAAATTGCTGCTCTGTACTAATTATAAGGCAAAAGTGTTAATAAAGATATTATTATTATTATGTTTTATTGAAATTGACTAATGGAAAGCGGGTGAAATCCAATAAACTGGATTCATCCCCTAATTTGTTACCCTTAGAGGTAGAACATTTTGTTCACATTTGAATGGAACTGCTAATGAGGTACCCTTTCCAGCAAAAAAGAATGATTAAATTCAGTTCATAAATGTCGGAAATTTTTTGGTCAGTTAAAAATGTACAGCATGATGAAGGTTGCAGACAGCTTTAAAATAAGGGCCCTGAAATATGAAATCCAGTCTAATACAAACTTCTTCAAATCAGTCTGATGGATCTCTTCCAGCTGGAGATGATAATACAGAATAAATGAATAAAAAATTTATTTCTATATATGTTTTTTATAAAATAACATGGCGTCTGTAACACTGGAAGGTTGCAGGCATTTAAAAGCACTAGTTTTCTTTTTTTAAAGTACCAACTGTCATATGTTTTAAGCTTTGGCTATACTTTTTATTGTGGACATTGTATACTTTGTAGCATTTAGATTTTAAATGAATAAAGTTTACTATCAATTTGTATTAAATTTAGAACTTATGCGTTTTTTCTTCACAGTTTTAGAGTATAATTGAGATAAAATCTAGGGTGTTTAAAGTATTTTTTGGCGATGTACCACAATCACTTCATACACAACTCACTTTCACTCACGGTCACTTTATACACAATTTATATATAAATTTAGGTAACTAAGTGGATCAGGCAACGAGAAAATGCTATCAAAACCGATAATTAATGCTATCGCATTAATTTATTCCGTCTAAATATAGAGCTTTTATTAAACAATGTCCAATTTTGGGACGAAGTTATAGAGCGAAAAATTACCGGTTATTAGCTAATAATTCCTTTAAATTACACATGCTATATACATACATACATGAGCGTAGTTGCAAGGAGTATAAAGCTTGTAAACTAAAGAAAAATCCAAAAAAAATGCGCGAGAAACCTGCTACCCGGCACATGGCGTATTTAGGTTATTCACTGTTTTAGATCTAAATTTCGCCTAGATTTCTGCTTAAATACCTGTTCCGATGACGTTGAGCTCTTCATACTTCTTTGCAGTTTGGAATAAAGCACTAACGTCGTTTATAGAAGCAATATTTGGAGTGTTGTGACTAGAAACAGAAGAACTTGTGCTTGCCCCCGACATTTTAAATCAACACTTTTCACGATAAGTTTTTGAGCACTTAACCCACTGAAAAAGATATTTAAACGCATCAATAACTTTAAATTAGTTAGTAAAACTTCATTTTAATGCGAAATGTGGTAAATGAAACATTAAACAATTTTATTTACACAACTTGTTTCTATCAGTTAAACTTTTTAGACGGGAAGTGGAGGGGGACTTTCAGAACACCTGTCGCGCAATCCAGCAAAATTAGAGAGACACAACAATGTGCATTAATTATAGCAAAACGATATGTTAACAAAATAGCCGGTTTATACAATATACATTGCGCCATCTGGCATCGAGTAGGTAAACATAAAGTTGTCCTCAAGCACCCTGCTACATCTCGGTTAGTTTTAGAAACACCTCTGCACGTTTATTTTAAATCAAAATTGGTGCTATTTTAAAATAGGCGCATAATAATATCTATGCGTTCTGTTAGTGAAGAGTAGAGTAAAACTTTTGCAGTCGTAATAAACTTGGTACTTTTTGTGTAGTGTAAGAGATGGCAGTACCTATATGTATTTAGTTTTTTATTAGTATAGCAGATGGCGTTAATAAATTTATTCTTCTAACCTTTCTTTTATGAAGTTAAGTTAGACAGTAGGTCTAAATATGTACTACATTAGAATAATATTGCAAAATAGAAAACAAGTCCTATGGATTTTAGGTTCGTTTTTCCTACTCCTGCCCAACTCTCTGTAGAAGAAGAACAATATTATTCATTACGTACCGGAATGTGATAAAAAAATATATATAATATATTGCTACATGTGTTAATCAAAACAATAATTCAAAATAATAAACTATGTGTGTGATTAGCAAAAACGCATTAGCTATTAGGGCTCGTCCGGGATTTGAACCCGGGACCTCTCGCACCCGAAGCGAGAATCATACCCCTAGACCAACGAGCCTTAAGATATGAAGTTGAAATTATGGACTATCTTCTACTGCTGATGACTCACATTATTAAACTTTTTTTTTGAAGAATTAGAATAGTTTCAAAAATTTTTTAAAGTAATTTCACCAAGAGTTTCTGTAATTATCTTTGAAAGAAATATTCTCTTTAATAAATATTGATATAAACATAAAAAAATTATAGAAATTAACTACTTCACTACCAAAACAATCGGAATCATATTCGAATACACTTCTTGGCGTTTTAGAAAGTTGACGTATACGAAAGAAGAAAAAAATACCGCTACATGATACCCAATATTTATCTCTTTCTAACTCCTTTAAACCAGATTAGCTATCTCTGTCACACTTATGAGTCCGGGTGTATTCAATCTTGTAGCTCAGTTGATTTGAACACTCAGCGAGGTTGCGCGTATAATTTGAAACAACGTATTTTTAACGTGTTTTTTAAAACTTTTTAACTAAAAATCTTAATTTGAAACCCTTTCAAAAGCATTTTATTAAATATTATAACAATAAAAGCGTTACTGACACTATAGTCAGACTAAAGTGAACAGAAATGGTGTAAGTGTGTGTTCAAAATGTGAAAGTTTGGTTCACGTGCAAGAAAATACTGTGTCTTTTTACGATTAATCTATCCTACTTTTCTTGTGGTCTAACAGCTGTTTATAAGCTCGAAGTGGATCTTTATTCGGTAAGAAGTTTAATAGCCAACCTTAAAAAAAACTTTCATAAAAAGTTTTATTCTTTTTTAATCTACCGTAAGACTACAATAATTTATTAGCGTTTTCTTTTTAAATTTAAATTAAAGTAGGTACATACGTGTGTAGAATACATTATAGTCATTATAGTTAAGTAAATACTTTAGATATTTTTTCTTTCTTTTTTTCTTTTTTCTAACGTAGAAGTTTCTAATTTGTTTTTTCGGCATCTTTGTCTGAAAGTATTGCAAAGTTTATCGTGGCATTGGTTATGGATTTATTAAGTATTTATAATCAATGTTATCTTGTGGAGATATGTTGTTGCTTTGATGTTCAATTGACAGGTTTTTATTGTAAAGCAAGTAGGTGCAAAAGCCATAGCTGAGGCTGCGAGTGACCAACCACGTCATCCTCTAATTAGACTGGTGATTGTGAATTTAGTGGTCTTTAGAGGGAGTGATCCCATAGTTCTATGTGTACACATTTATACAAATAATTCAGTCTTTATGTTCCTTATTCGGTGGGATCTATGAATTAGAGGTGGGCGTTTAAAAGAAAAGCACTTAAAAAAGGTCTGCTTTTTAAAATAAGCGCATAAGCACGCTTTTCATTTTAAGCGTAAGCGTTCATCACTGGTCAGTTCTACTATAGATCCTCAATAATTTCATTTTTTACGTGCCTAAATTTCAAGTAGCGCCATCTATGTTTCCTAAACAATTTAATTCAACATAACGTTGCAGCTTTTTTAAACATAAAGTTTATGCGCTTAAACGTTTTTCTAAACGACTTTAAGCGTCAAACTAAAAAGAGCTTTTACAAACACGCTTTTTAAACGTACGTTTTAACGTTAAAAAAATAAGGATTCGCTCAGGGCCTTTTGGAGGGAAAAGTGTCGTTTTTATTTTGACTGTCAATTATTTTGTGAGATCTAGTTTAAAGGGGAATAGGATAGTGCTATTGTGCCTTAATCGAAGATTAAAACGCGAAATTTTACAATCTCGAACTAAAATACCCGTATCGGCCCGTTCTAAGGAATCCCGAGTCAATCCAAGCACGCCGCCTCAAATTGCCTATCCTCTTTGTGG